GGACAAAACTGTTCTATTTGAGTGCAATTTTATTTCTCGTTGTTTTTTTTTTCTTATTTATTATTGGGTACTTTCCATTATTTGGAACCTCTTGGTTACCTTAAATACAAATCTGCAAATTTACTACACATTCAGTTACAACTGAAGATTTATAATTATATTTTATTAACAATTCATATTTTGTTTGTTTCATAAAATATGTTCTCAAGTACGAATCTTCATGATCTTTTTAATAGAATCAAAACGTATTTCAGTAAAAACCTGTATCAATGAAGTGTTACGTTGAAAGTCAATTCTTCGCTGCAGTCGTTTTGTGTGGGAGCCTCTATGGAAAAAGGTAATATGACCTGTGACATTTTACCCACACAACGCTTTTTCTTAAACTAAAAGTTGATTTTTGGGTTTTTTTGCTTTGCTTTTCCAAACCGGTTTCATAAGACAAAGTTACCTTCAATTGAAGGCCAAATAAGTCAAGAAGTTTCATATAATGCAACTTTTCACGTAATTGTTTTGTTTCTGTCTGTATGACAATCAATTGTTTATGGATTTTCATTTCGCCTCAATGCACTGCCGTGATGACATGCTGCTTGTTGGCGGTGCACGAGCCTGCATTCTGCACAGGGTGGTGGGGGCGTGACGGGTTGGGGTACCTGGGCAAAGTGGAGTGATGGTGAGTGTTGTGGAGGACGATATTTGACACTCCCCCCTCTTGTTTCCCTTTGTTTCTTCCGCATTCCATGGGAGGATGTGTTCTTCCAAAATTGAGAAGGATTCTCGCTGTTCACTCTTCAACCTTCAGCAAGATCCCAGAGAAGATATTGCAGAGCTAGGTGACCAGGAATGCCCAACCAGGCATCCGGACAGGTCGGCCAGGCAGGCATACACCAGGGCCACACTGGGCAACTTGGAAGACCTGAATTGGATGCCTGAAGTGGATTTAGAACTGAAAACGTGACTCCGCCGTACTTACCCATTTCTTTGCTCGCCTGGACTCGTCCACCACGCACTTTCCTAGATCTGTTTCAGAAATGCAGCTCGTTAACGGTCGAAACTTTCAGAGCTCGACCGCTGTTGATGAATTACGCCAGCACCCTTTCTTGCATTTCCTTGCCTCGGAAAGGAGTGGTCAGGGGCCCATGGCCTATATGTGGGCGAGGTGCTGGCGGGTAAAGTTAGACATTCAACTCCAAAAAAAATGTAAGCAAGGCAATAAACGGTCCTCGACTCAGTATTAGTGCTATCTTCATTATGATCATCGGCTGAAAAGATTTGCTGATCCGCAATCAAGGTGGTTGGATTGCGAAGATTGACCAAGCTCAGAGTAGCCGGGTAACAAAAGGTCAATCATTTACGAAGTAGCCGCAATGCGGATGCCACACACGAGGAGACCAACGGGAAAGCTCAATTTCAACGGGAATGCTGAGCACACAAAGTAGCAGCAATGGGGATGCCACGCATGCTGGTTACGCGCTGTGTGCTCTAATATGTCTCCCAGAGGGGAGGCTATCAGAAAAAGGCCTCCGACACACAACTCACACGGGACCACAGCTGCACCTCACAGATTAAAGAAGGCAGCCTCCTCTTCGGTGTAAGTTCTGTAGCGAGGGAGTGACGGGGGTTAGAAGGGGGTATGGAAGGCTAGCAAATTTTAGTACCAAAGACATGACGTACAGGTGGTTCAATCATCCTCGGTGGAACACCATGGTTAAGATTCCACCTCTACCTGTGACAAACCGCTCCTAAAAATTCGCACTGGTCAAGCTGGAGCGGTCGAGTAAACTCAGTAAAGGTTGAGCGGTTTGTCACAGGTAGTGGCCGAATCTTAACCAAGGTGTTCCAGCAAGGATGATTGACCACGTGGACCTTTCCCAGCTAGTTTTCATAGACGCGGCTCATTGACAGCCGCAACTCTCAGGGCCAGGCCACCATCAATGAATTCTGTCGGCGGTCATGGCCATATTCAGTTTCAGGCCTCCGTAGGTCGCAGTGAGGGGCCCGCAGCGGCCGACTTGTCCGCAAGGTGCTAGTGGAAGGATTACTTTTTCACCGAGAATGAGCCAAGAAGCAGACTTCGGAAAGAGTCTGTGAAGAAATTCTACAACCGTTATCATGGAAGGATAGATGGTCAGCTTGGCCATCTCAAGCTCCGCCACCCTGATACCTCCACCCTACACGTGACCTGGCAATGTGAGATGAGGTTCGTGGAGTCTCTCATTCTAAAGGATTCTTGGGCAATCCAGTAAAAGGTCGTCCTCTATTTAAAAAGCCTATATATGAAATATGGGCAACGCAACGTAAACGTGATTGGCTCACATTGATCCAGATGTGTTCGAGAGCCTGAGACATATTCGTTGGGGAAAACCGTCGACTCCATTAAAACTCGGCTCTAAAAATTGGCAGTACCATTGTCAATTAGACAGTTTCGTTTGGGAAAACCATCAACTCCAAACGAGGTGGGATCAATGGCTTTCATATTCTCTTCGAAGATTCAGAGTACAAGTGTCTCAACAGTAAAAGACCCCATCCATCTTTCCATCTTTAATCCGAAAGTACCTTTTCCCCCGTTGAGATTATGTGGGCCTCCGCTCTTTTAGGAGGCCGATAACGAACCGACAGCTGCCAATGCGATTTACCAGCGTCGGCAGTCGATTGGCCCTGCCTACCATTTTTTTTAATTTTTTTTTTTTCTCCTACCGAATTTTTAAGAGTATCGGCAAACTTCCAAGTATTAATCCGGATATCCGGACATCTTTGATTTATCCGGATCTGCAGGCTGGGCACTGCTGCCAGACTATCCGGATTTGCAGGCCGGGTAGTGATGCCGGACAAAACTGGACTAAGTATATCCGGAGGGTCAAAAGTAAGGCACTTTTCCAAAAAAAAAAACAAAAGATCTCAAAAAAATCTGAAAAAAAGTATGTTGTAGACTATAACAATACCAACAGCTTTTGGCTGGAGGTATTTTTTATCATCGGAATTTATCCAGAAAATTCCGGATAAACCTTTTGTCCCCGTGTGTTCCATCAGGATAGAGTCCGGGCAGTTAATCCGACTGGGAATATCATGCTACCGAGGAAAACTCCCAGTTTTCCCTAATTTCCCAACACTGGCTGAGGTACTGGTGCTTAAAAAATAATAATAATAATACTTAAAAAAATAAAAATACCATGCATCTTTCCTATTGCTTTGCGTTGACATCTTTTTGATTGAAAGCATAGGGATGGGTGGGAGGTGGTCATCATTGACTACCAAGCTTGAAATACCACTCTTTTATCTGTTAAACCACCAGTACTTGGCCCAGCTATAGGCCGCAGAAAAAAATAGAGTAGAAACATTTCTAATCGGATGAATTTGGGCGCTCCTGTAGTAGCCCGTACGTTTCCTAAAACCGTGGCGTGTTAACGGGCACGACTCTAGGAAGTACTGGTGGTTTAAGGATGTCTAACTGCCAAAGCAATTGGTTCGGCTGAACCTTGCGTGGTCCGTGCCTTTTTTTTTTTTCTTGGCGTGGATGTCTTATCATTATCCCGCCCTTAGGTGCGATGCGTCCACGAAGAAAGTGGGGATTACGCTTTTTCAACTTACATGACGCGAAGGGAATGGGGAGCAAATATTTCTGTTTTTTTTTCAAATATAACAGGTGTTCAAAGCAGAGGACCGTATTTGTCAGAAACATTGGGCTTAGTCAGTATATGGAACTTCAAGCTCTGCCCTCAGTTAGCGTCTCTGCTCACACAAACAGTGCTCAAAGCGTCAAACAATATTTTTGTTTTCGTCAATGACACACCGCAACTTCAGAGAGCTTACTTCATAGAGCTTACGTCAGAGTCCAACACAAAACGTTTTTGAATTTGCCAGTCAAAACCCCTTCGCCTCACACAGCTATTTTCTACCCTTCCTGTTTTCAAGTCAGTTAAACCATAACTCGAGACTCGAATGATATTTGTTTTTCCTGATGACGCCCTGCAACTTCAGAAAGCTTATGTCAGCGTCCACAGCGAAACATTTCTGAATTTCCACAGTCCCACATGGCCATTTTCTTCGTCCGTTGAACTATAACTCGAATTTACTGTGCTCATAGCCTCATATACATTTCCACAAAAATGGGGTGGGGTGGGGGGGGGGGGGGTAGAGGAGGAAGTGTGGACATCACTTGAACCTCGAACAATGTCTCCTCCTTCAGGACATCCGTTAACATCGGCATGATATAGACAAGATTGACATGGCCCTGCAGACGGGGGGGAGGGGAAGACAGAGAGGAGACGGGGAAAAAAAAAAAAAAAAAAAAAAAAAAGAAGCAATAACGAGAACTTTACAACAGCCAATTACAAAATCACACATGGAAAAAAACAAAAGCACACGTAAGGCAAACTATATGGTTAGAAAAAAGAAGAAAGACAAAGATACCATTCTGCAAGCACACTACTACACTCAGAAAATGCACATATGTGGCCGCACATTGATAGCATCAGTACACCTTCAGTCGATCCGATACCGTTCCTTTTTTTCGCCCAAGGAGAGAAAGCCGTGCATCTGGCTGGCCCTATAAAATTGAAATCCCATCAAGATTCGAACACAGGTCTGCTTGTCAACAGTTGATGCCTATACCATTCTGCCACGCATTCGTTCCAGTAAATTTGACGCGATGACTTCCTCATATCATATATAAATTAATAATCTAATAACTCAACAAAAAGTGTTAAATCTTCCTCCAGTGCTCTTAAACCACCAGTACTTCCTGAAGTCGTGTAGCGTTAACGCTACGCAATTTAAGGAAACGTACGGGCCACTACAGGAGCGCCCAAATTCATCCAACTAGAAACGTTTCTTCTTTATTTTTTTCCGCAGCCGATAGCTGGGCCAAGTACTGGTGGTTTAAGCAAAGCTGTTTGCATTGACCCTTCGCCTCATTTCCTCTGATCACCTGCACCGCAAGAACAGAGAGGTGTGGAGGACCCCTGACTCCACCCGAATAAAACAGCCTGTCGTTATCGCTGTGTCTCAAAGTTGCCCCAGTTATAGCGGTGACACCTGGGCTTTGTATTCAGGTGGAGACGACAGGCATGTTGCTGCAAGCGCGGCAAGCATTGCTACCGAGTGGGACGAGTCTTCGTTTCCACTTTTGTCAATCACCAATCGCATGCCCAAGGCACGTCCGATCCACCTATCATGTCTATTGTTTATACAAATTCTGCGATCTCAGAATCTCCTCATTGGGTGAGAGGGGGGGGGGGGGRGGAGACAATTCAAAGCGAAGAAAATACACTTCCTGAAACTTCGCCATACACCCGCCACAGCTGAGCAGACAAAGAGCAGTTAGGCCGATAATGCATTCACTTCCAATGCCACTTAACATCTGATCTATACCTATCATGTCTACTGTTTACAGAAATTCTGCAACCTTAGAGTTCCCTCATTGGGCGGGGGAGGGAGAGGCCACAATTCAAAGCGTTGAAGAAAATTAACTCCTGAAACTTCGGCGTACACCCGCTACGGCTGAGCAGACACAGAGCAGTTATGCCACTAATGCATTCACTTCCAATGAACAAGCGCCAATCCCAGCTGGTACGCCTTTCACACACGACACCGAAACCAAGATCATACACACCAGTTCGCAAATAGCAATGCTTCGTCACCAGCGGTCTGTCATCGCCAACCCGCATGCAGAAAGTCCGAGTTAATCCCTTCTACAACAACAAGAATGCCACTGTCGCTACCCCCAGTTACGTGCCACTTTTGTCTGTTTTTGCAAAGAAAAGCACTCCTACCGAAGCTACAAACTCATTTTGCTGAGTTCCTTCAACATGGTCATTACATCACGCGCCTTTGTATACTCTACTTGCTCACCTGTGTCGGTTTTCCGGTACAGTTCTATCGACAATTGAATCCAGGAAGTTTTCTCACGGAAAATGAGACCCGTCCAATAACCCAAGTTTGTTTTGTTCAGCAGCATTATCTTTATTATCTGTCATGCATATTATCTAGCCGAGCAAAAACTCGTACGGCGATAGACCAGGAATTCCAATCTTACCCTACATCACAGAAACGTTTATTTCCGATCCGCTCCCACGATGGCTTTCATTCGTTTGTTTCCCCTACGAATGTTTTGAAGTAGCACACCACCAACTCCTTTCTACATCCCAGGCTGAGCATATGCCACCACCCTCAAGCTAACCCATAACAACAACACGTACCTTGGGTTAGCGCGAGAAAACCATGACCAGACTTTTCACAGAATATTTGTCCGCAGCGTGCAGAGTTTTGTGCGCATTTGTCCTCTTCGCGCATGAAAACCACGACCAGACTGTTCACAGAAGGTTTATCCCCAGTGCGCAGAGTTTTGTGCACATCTCTCCTCTTCACAACTCTCTTCTGGCATTTGCATCATCAACTAAACTCAACTGTAAGGTGCTCGCTCTTTTTTGCACATTAGAGAGCTGACCTTGAAACAGGCCATGAAAAGTCAAAATCCACAACCGGACTTTTCGCAGAGTAGTTGTCGGCAGAGCAGAAAGCCGTGAGCTTTCGTGCCCTTCTTTCCCAACTCTCTCGTCCGGCGTTGCATCATCATTAACTCACCTGTACCGTACCCCATCCAGCTCTTGTGCACACATTAGAAGAGGCACCTCCTCACACCGAAACATGCTCGATTGTCCCCGACTGCGTCCGTTCTAAGAAAACCCGCTCAACCACTGACACCACCGACAACAGATCGACAAAATATAAGATCTGACCTCATTCACATCCCTTTCCTGCCCAAAATGAGCCTGATAAATTATAGACCATCCAGTGTGAAACAAGTTCACACCTCCCCCAAGGTTTCCAGACTGTACCTTCAAGAACGGGTGACGATTCTGAGGCAACCATTCACATGCACAATGACGACACACTACACGTCGCGGTCCCCACCGATAAGCGACAAAAGCTCAGTACACTCTTTCGATCAATACACTGGCGGTCCCGTTCCACATCGTCAACCATGCGCTCTGCTTGTAATCCCATCAAGATTTGAGAGCACTATTTGTCTGGCCTACTGTTCTGCAGACCAACAACTGCGGCTTAGGGGACCACACGCGGAAAAGGCAATCAGTTGTCGAAGGGAGTTGCAGAGCACTGAGTCACTGACAAAAGACGAACAAGATATTAATACGGTTCCAGAGCGCCACAACGCACAAAATTCAAGAACCAAAGCTCCAAAGACGTCGACAAAAAAACAATCACCGCGATGCTTTTTAATTGCACGTTCCAATGCATGGAGACTTATTCTAGCGAAAAGCAGAGGAGGAAACATTACCTAAAGAAGCAAGCAAAAAAAAAAAAAAAAAAAAAAAAGGTTGTTCCTTGTCAATTACGGCTTTGCAGCCACAAACAGACCGGATATCCCAGGACCAGGGACTCGAAGAAGACACAGCAGAAGAAACTGTATGAATGGTTAAGCATCCAATCACTGGCTCTACTCATTAAAAAGCAACTCCCAAATCAAGAGTGCCAATAATGATTAAAGAACTACGGAAAACATGAAAACTCCACCAAGAATATTCAGATGTTCTTGCATCACACACCACACAGAAAGCAGCACACAGCACCGGCAAACGCAGCATCCAGGGCACAACCCCGGAACGAGAGATGGGACAACGAAAACGAAATTGCACTTACACCCCAGCATTCGGCAGCGCCGCAAACAGTACCTCACATTCTCGACAAGGGCATCAGGGCCGATAGCAAGCAGAAAAAGATCCCAGCCCACATATCTAAGCCGAAGGAGTGTTGTGAGAGGAATCTGAGCAACGAGGACAAAGCCGAAAAAGATTGCAGCCCATATATCTATGCATCAGGGCTGAGGAGAGGAACGAAGAAAACTACGAGCAAACTGAAACCAGCACAGGAACATGTCTACTACACCAGTGAAAGCAGTGTAGAGCTGGAGGAGACGACCAACTTCTGAAGATGACCGCAAGGCCGCGCTGCGCCTGGCTCCCAAAGAGCACCACGTGGTGATGCAGCAGCAAGAGAATTGTGAGACAAGACCTGCTTTGCACAAAATTAAGCAGCCGGTGGTGGAATGAGCTCAAGCCAACAGCTGCCACAACACGTCTCCCAAGCCTGCGCAAACGAGGCTTTAAATTCCAACACTTCCCCACAGAGTTATTGCACTAGAACAGGCCAGAGACATGAGACACAGCACCCACCCAGCTACTAGCCTAGATATGCCTGGAGGTCGGTCGTGTTGGATATGGTTGTGCAAACACACAAGAGATAAGGAACCCTCTGTACTACTTTTATGCGTGCTTCAACAGTGGTGCTTACCCCCAAATTACATTCCACCTACCATTTCCACAAGAGCACCGCCCAACCTGCTTGCGAAATCCCATCTCACCAACGTAGGGATTCCATTCCAGTTGGCCAAGCAACCCATCTTGTACGTCAGACCCTCTCCTCCCAAGCACTCGCTCACAATGCCGCTCGCCGCAGGCTCTTCCAGCAGATAACAGACCCTTTCGCAAACCCTTGTGCACAGCTTTTATCCGCTCTCATTTAAGACCTCCTCATGTCCAAGTGCCAGCAAACATCTTCATCATCGGCCGGACTACTAAACCACGACACGGATTGATGGATCCTTCTCACGTCGTCCACAGCATAAGGACTACAATTTTGCTTTTCATCACTTTTGCGCTCTCTACCCTTCATGGAGGCCAACTCGTCCTCCAATGCTCTTTGGCACTTTGTCCACTCACAGCAAATCCAATAGCAGCTTCCCTACAGACGGCGACAGCAGCAGGCAGCACGCACACACTCTAGCAAGCCTTGCTACACCGGGCAACACAGTTTATCTTAACCATCCGACGGGCTTCTCTTTATTACCCACTACCCAAGTCCTACCGTCCAGCCACAGGTCAGCAGCCGCTGCCCATCCGCATCTCCGTCATGATTTCCCCCCGGACCACCACTACCGATCAGTCCCCCCCACCGGTGCCCACAGATGATCAATCACCTGCTGCGTAATGGCCACTATTCTGACATTTGCATCCAACTAAACCTTTCCGTCCACCCAGCCAAACATTCCCACATGTCTCACCTAGTTCTACGCAGGCTTCTATTGCTCTCCCAGTCTACCAGCAACCATCCACGACTGCCCAGTACGTCGCATTTGCACAACAGAGAGAGAACCACCTACCCAAAATGATCATTGACCAGCCAAACATTCCCACATGTCTCACCTAGTTCTAAGCAGGCTTCCATTGCTCTCCCGGTTTCCCAGCAACCATCCACGACTGCCCAGTACATCTCATTTGCACAACAGAGAGAGAACCACGTACCCAAAATGATCATTGGCCGGTCTTGCCGTCATCATTGCCATATGATGTTCCCCTTCGTAGACTCAACCAAAGGCCTGCCTTTTTTCAAAGATGAGCACGCACATCTTTATTATTAAAAAGAGGGCACTTCTTCTCAAGGAAAGAAACCATCGACGGGACCTCACTGCACAGGAGAGGGACCAATGTGTTCCCTTTATGTGGAACAGCAATTTTTTGACTTCTTCTTCGCATCACGCTGATCAGGGTCGGTAACGTGGATGGTCGTACCCTCGCCGGGACCAGCAGCGCTGGTGTCGTCCGCCGCGAGAGCTTTCTTGCTCATAACACGATAGATCTCTGTCAGAATCTTCTGAAAGGCAGTTTCAACATTTGTAGACTCCAGGGCTGAAGTCTCAATGAAGGACAGCCCCTCCTTTTCGGCAAAAGCCTGTGCATCGTCCGTGGAGACCCCTCTCAAGTGCCGCAAGTCGGACTTGTTTCCCACCAGCATTATCACGATGTTGCTATCTGCATGATCTCTCAGTTCCTTCAACCATCGCTCCACATTCTCGTACGTAACATGCTTGGTGATGTCGTAGACCAGGAGCGCACCAAGAGCACCTCGGTAGTACGCACTGGTGATAGCCCTGTACCTCTCCTGCCCAGCAGTGTCCCAGATCTGCGCCTTAATGGTCTTTCCATCGACCTGCAGGTTATCCAGCCATAAGACAGCCGAAACCCAAACTATCACATCGCATGTAGGCCGATACATGTCCACAAACCAGGCAGTCTATAAACTGTTCTGCTGCTATCGTTATGTTCTTTTTACGGGCATTTGCATATTCCTCTTTTGCCAGCTCTGATGTCATTAGGCAGGCCTTCCACCTTCCAGTATGTGCACTTGAAGTGATCCTGTGTCCTTCGCTCTCAACTAGGCCATGGTGATTGGAAATGGTGGGGCAATATTTTCACACAATATCATATAATACTGTACTATACAACACTATACGCATAGGCCTCATTGCAGTGTAACCGCACTTAAGCTCAAGAATACATATGCACGGGCAGCAACAATTTGCCCCAAAAAACATCCACAAAGACAAGGAAAGGAATATAATCCACTTAAAACACGATAAAACAAGCAATCACATCATATCCCGCCATTTGGCTTCTACCCTCATACACACTTCATTCCCACCCTCCCACTAATACCTTCCTCCCTCCTTTTCAAAAAGCTGTCATTACCTCCCTTCTAGAATTTCTCCACTTCCCTCTTCCGCGCTCCTTTTCATGTGCCGTCATTTTCGTCATCACTTTTGGTTGGAACAAAAGGAGCATGGTCAGCCCCACTGCCTTGGCAATTTCCACGGCATTGGCTTGGAAACTTAATACGCGCTATTGGGCATAGGACAACACGGCTGTCTGAACACAAAACGAGAGGACTACAAACTTTTCACCTCTTTGATTGCCACCGCGGAAAGGAGGTCGGCGAAGAAAGAGGGAGCACAAGGCACATCAACAGGTTTGATGCGGGTGGCAGGGCCGGGAGGAGGGCGGGGAAAGAGGAGACTTGAAGAAAAGGGAAAAGAAGAGAATGAAGAGAAAGGGGGGAAACATCGGCAGACACAAAGGATCAGTCAATTAACTTTCCATCAATATCAATCAAAGAACTGGGAAGATGATACCGAAGGTAGTGCGCAGAGAAAGAAAAGTAAAGAACGACTGCCATAACACTTCCCAAGACGAGTGCAAGATGTCGTTAATCCCTAGATGACGAAGACAAGCGCACGAGAAGAATTTCTATACAAAAAAAAGTGCAACTCCGTAAAGAACGCTCAAACTTCACATTCAGCTTTCCCACCGACTCACAAACTCTACAATTCTACAATTTCGGTCATTCACCGCCTCATTGAACTGTCGACCGACATTTCCTCTAAGCTCCTCGCCACGCCACTGTCAACATGGAGAAAGAACTGCATGTTCCCGCAGGGAGTGGCCAGATGCATCCATTACACCACTGTCAAAACAAAAAAAGAGTACAACTGCATGTTCCTGCAGGCAGTGGCCAGATTCATCGATTACTATGAATAGTAATTCATCGATTACTATGAATAGTAACGGATGCATCTGACCACTTTCTGGGGCAGATGCAATCACACTTTTTCCGCTTCGACAGTGGTGCCCGACAAGATAAGCTTCTTTATTTAAAAAAAATAAAAAAACGTTTCCACACGAGAAGCGTACACTCCGAGAAACGAGAAAACGTAAGAAAAAACAACGGACAACGAACACGACGACGATAATCTATAAATACAAAGACCGCCTTAGGGTGAACTCACACTAGAACTTGTTCAACTGACCTCTGGACGTAATTTTGGTCAGGTACATTCAGCGTCGGCCGTATTGCGGTCAGCAGGTCCACGAAAATCCTAGTGCGGAAGTCCTCATGTCAATATGCTCTTCAGCGTAAAACATCAAAAACACATGCGAGATAATGCCATCAACGTCCAAAAGACTTATCCCACAAATCACGCACCCGTCACATGAACGCGCACAGAGACCTCTCTCTCTCTCTCTCTGACAGACAAACAAACACACACAGACCTCTCTCTCTCTCTCTCTCTCACACACAAAGACCTCTCTCTCTCTCTCTCTCTCACACACACACACACACACAAAGACCTCTCTCTCTCTCTCTCTCTCTCTCTCTCTCTCTCTCTCTCTCTCTCTCACATACACACACAAAGACCTCTCTCTCTCTCTCTCTCTCTCTCTCTCTCACACACACACACCCACACACACAAAGACCTCTCCCTCTCTCTCTCTCTCTCATCCTTGATCTTCTCCACTCCGTCACCCGAGCCCACGCTCGCTCTCTGTCTACATTCTCGCCTGTGTACAGAGGTCCCTCCTCTCTCCTCAAGGCCTCCCTGTCTCTCCCTGCACATACGTCGCTCTCTCTGCACTACCGAAATCGACATGCGTCTCTCGGAGAGTGACACCGTGGATCCGAACCAGAGAAACGGGACCTTGGTCCTCTACACAACATTCTACATGCATCTGGGCTGCATTGCGACCCAGATGCACTCGGACTTACCCTACTTTTCGGATGTATCCGGACAGCAGCAGATGCAGATACATATGGAATACTGTGTAGAGGAGCGCGGCCCAAGATCTCGGGGAAAAAAAGAAACACCATTATGAGCACAGCCACGTCCGCGAGAAGTCCATCCACGTGTCATCACTTGCACCCTCATCTCGCATACTATCATCTTCACCCTAATAGACGCCCGATCGTTATCTCTGCATGTAGACTGAAAGTTGCCCCAAATAAAGCTATAATGCCCGCGGGTTCTGTTCGGATGAAAAATACCGTCGTGCTTCCTCAACAAGTAAAGCGAATCGCAAAGAAGTTGAAATGAAGAAAGACTGCCCTCGGCGCGCAGCAGAAAGACAAAAAGGCGCCCGTTTTCCGTTCACGTTCGACTTTGCCCAGCCAAGTCTTCAACCCTCGCTCAACTACAAAACAGTCCAAATGTACCGGCCCTCGTGTTCGTCCCGATACATTCAAAAGCTTTCGTCAGGTCGAATATGTCCGGATTAACTGGATTTCAAACCTACCAATTTGGTGCTCAACTACAAAACAGTCCAACTGTACCGGGCCCTGGTGTTCGTCCCGATACATTCAAAAAGCTTTCGTCAGGTCGAATATGTCCAGTTTCACTGGATTTCGAACCTCCTACCAGTTTGGAGTGTTCTGTAGAAGAGCAACGCCCTTTGCCCAATAAATCACTTCCAGAGAAGACGGAAACGCTGTCCTAAGTTATGCCCAAGAAAGATAACACGGCCAAATGTATCTACCTCACGAACAGACCAGATACATCAGTACAGTATAGATAAATAGCTCTAGCGATACCACTACTTCCTGGACGAACGCATCTGGCTGACGAACAGACCAGATACATTCGTGCGCTCCTACACTCGGGGATTGTCACAGTATAAGGGACAACTTGTGATGAGCTCCACAACACGACAAATTCTCTGCTGTTTAAATCAGTTCAAAACCGAGCAGAGCAGATTAAGCGCATACTTACACTAGGACTTTCCAGGATGTTTGAGACGGCTTTTCCCACCCGTCCTGGATGCACCTGACCGGCAATTACGTCCACAAAGAAGTGGGAAAAAGTCCTCTAGTCTGAGCACGCCCTGACAAAACCTCCCAAGGTTGCCTCACCCGTCACCGCACATCAAAACACCATACCCCAACGTAATACTAGTCTTCCCCCGAACACAACGCACCCTCGTCATGACCGTATCAGACCGGAAAGAAGGCTTGTATACATTCATAATCAGGGTGCGTTATGTTTGGGGGAAGACGGTGTAGTAATACTATAATGCTAACATTTTTTAAGGGAAAAAGCATGCCGCGTCCCTCAGGAAGGTAGTAATACCTGTCTTCCCCCGAACACAACACACCCTCATCATCACCTTATCGGACCTGGAAGAAGGCTTGTATACAATCATAACCAGGGTGCCTTATGTTCGGGGGAAGACGGTAGTAATACTATTAATGCTCGCGTTTACGGGAAAAAGAATGCTCCGTCCGTCAGGACGTCTGTTAAAATTGGAACGATACAGAGAAAGATAATTAGCATGCCCCATGCGCAAGGATGACACACATAAATCGAGAAATAGTCCACATTTTTATTATTAAAGAAAAAAAAAAAGGAACGCCGCTAATGCTTTCAGTACAGAGTTATGTGACCGAATCATCAACTCAATCCCGTTTAATTTTCTACCTGTCATCATTACAGTGATTACAGTGAGGTTATGGAGTCTCGCCGCAAGAGGCCCAACGAACACATACTAATACTACCGCCTTCACCCGAATAGAACGCCCGGTCATTAATATTGCATCTGGACTGAAAGTTGGCCCAAATACAGCTATAATGATCGGGCGTTCTATTCGAGTGACGACGGTAGTAATCGAGTGGCAAACCCAAAAAACGGAAAATTAAACGAATAATAACCAAAGAAAAATACAAATACGCGCAAAAAATGAACTAATGGAACCCAAACAACAAGGACAAACAGATGACCTAATAATGCTATATCAGAGAAAAGCCCTCGCTCCACTACTCACCAAATGTCCAAATGAGAATGATTCTTCCGCTAGAACATGGGCAGATACACCGCCATAATGTTTGGCTTTTGTGCACGCCATGAGTTCGGTGAGCGAGACCCAAATACACCATGCATTGCCACAGCGAATTACACATATCAACCTACACGTTATACAGGGCAGTTCTGTCTCCAAATATATATTTATAGGTTCAGCGTCCTGATGAGTCGGTGAAACTCTGCCGAAACAGTTTGTCACAGCCCCTCGTTTCTTGTCCTCTTCTCCTTCTCCCTCCCTCTCTGCCTACTCCGGTTTACCGTAGGCAGCTCTGTTTGACTATATATCATACATATATTTATATACATAGTCGGTGAAACTCCGGCGAAACAGTTTGTCACAGCCCCTCGTTTGTTGTCCCGTCGAACAGAGCTGCCCCAGTCGGGTGCCCCCGTCGGTAAACCGTAGTAGGCAGAGAGGGAGGGACAAAAGGGAGAAGAGGACAAGAAACGAGGGGCTGTGACAAACTGTTTCGGCGGAGTTTCACTGATTCATCGAAAGGGCTGACCCCCTCTCTGTATGTACATATACATACACAAACATATATATTGCCACATCAATATCAGAGCGCAAAAGCAAAAAAAAAAAAAAAAGGAAACAAAAAAAAAGGATTTATCTTCTTCCTTACCACTCCCCCTGTTCAGAACCTCTCGAGTACAAGGCCGCCCACGTGGCTGTAGGTTGAGCGGCGGCTGCCCCCACCCCCGTGTGTCATATCGACCCACTTGCACACAGCCAAAGGGCAAAGAGGCAAAGAAAAGAGGAAGGGAACAGCCAAATACGACAAAACAGGGGGCAAACAAGCAACAACACCAAAACAGATCCTAGATGACAAGTCCCACATGCAAGCACCGGCCCTTCTTCACAGGCCAAACGACGGGATATATACATATACACGTATAGGGTTCAGCCTTCTGACGAGCCGGTGAAACTTCGACGAAAGTCTGTCACAGCCCTTCGTTTACTGTCCTCTTCTCCCTTTGTGTACTTACAAGTCACCGGGCAGCTCTCCATAACGAGACATTCATTTTCCTCTTCTCCTCTCTCTGCCTACGGTTCACCGGGGAGTTCTCTAACGAGACAGACATATATATAATCAAATATACATATATACATATATCGTCACAGAGAGACAATATATACATATATTGCCATTGCGGAAAAAACGACAAGCAGAGTCCGGTGTACGGAAACAACAGCCGTGATCCCGAGAATACCCAAAAGATAATTAAAAAAAAATAAACACTCCACGAGTCTGCGGAGCGCACACGTCTCCCCTACCCTACCCTCATTCAAGAAACTAGTTCACACACGTCTATGCATAGGGGAGGCGTGTGCGCACAATAATCAAATATACATATATACATATATCGTCACAGAGAGACTGGAAAGCTGCATAGATCAAACACCGCTCTCGAGTTGCGCGCGATATTTTCGATCCAGCTCCCTTCTCTCTCCTGCAACAGTTTTCCTCGCTCCCTCACTCGCCCGCGATATCTTCTCTCCACCTCCCTTTTCTCCTACCAGTGTTCCTCCCTCCCTCTCTTCTCACTCGCCGTCGTCTCTATTCGCGCGCTCATTTTTTTCTTCGCGCCGTCATTTCCCTCGCTCTCTTTTCTGTCCCGCTTTTCTTTTCCTCGCGCTCATTTTTTTCTTCGCGCCGTCATTTCCCTCGCTCTCTTTTCTGTCCCGCTTTTCTTTTCCTCGCGCTCTTTTTTCCTTCCGCTCTTTTCTTTTCCTCGCGCTCTTTTTTCCTCCCGCTCTTTTTTTCCTCCCGCTCCCTTTTTTCCCCCCGCTCTTTTCTTTTCCTCGCGCTCTTTTTTTTCCTCCCGCTCTTTTTTTTTCCTTCCACTCTTTTTTTCCTCCCGCTCCTTTTTTTCATCCCGCTCTTTTTTCTCCACTCTGCCCTGCTGTCCTTCTCTCCTTCCTCACCAACCTCTATATCGTAGTGCCACGTCACTTCATAGCTCACAACCCTCTCTCCCTCCCTTATCCCTCCTCCCCTCTTCTTCACCGCCCGGACTTGCAAAGCAGTAACGAATAATGAGCATGCAATTTACATCACCCCTTACCCGCCAGCTCGTCTTCAATCCCTTCACCCCTGATTTCGCCACCCTCCGCCCCTCTTCCTCCACCCTCGCTTCTCTGGACCCCACCACATGCCTCATCCCTCTCCCCCCGCTTCTCCTCCCTTCTTGCGCTCCTACTCACCTCTTTCTCACTTACCTCTCTTCTCCTGGTCCAATTCCCCACGCCCTTTCACTACCCACCCGTCATACACCCCCATCCTCACTTATAGCTTTCTTCCCCTCCTCACCTCTTCCCACTTAACTTTCGTTCTCTCCTACTCCTCTCTACTCAAATTTCTGACTTCACTCTTCTTCCGCCATTCCTACTCACCTCTTTCCCACTTCGCTTTATTCTCCTGGACCCATTGCCCACGCCTTTTCACTCTCGTACCGTCATATACACACCTTTCGAGCAAGAAACTACACCCCACCGCTCATTAGCAACAGTAATCACGCTTATACGAAGTACAACACAAGCACACATATACTACCGCTGCCACGTCTCCTCAATCCGTTAACCGCCGATACATCCGCCGTCAAGAAAGCAATCACCAAAACGGTCAGCAAGAGCAAACGCCAATCTTCTTGACCTAAAATGCATGACATCCCATAAAAGACAGCCCAATAACACGAAGAAGAACGATGCGGACCCCTAAACGGATGAACAAGGAGCTCTGCTGACGCATTAACCCATAACCTCGTCACTCACTTTTAACACCAATAACCTCCACTCGCGTTAACACCAATGACCTCGTCACGCACGCACTCTAACACTGAAAAAATGCTGTAAAAAATACTGTAAAATAATAAAAATGGGATAAAAAAAGTGTAAAATAAAATAATATAAAATAGAATTAAATCATGTAAAATAATATAACATACGGTGAAAATACGTGCAGAGCGTAAAAAACAATTTCCGAGAGAGTACATACATCAAGTCACCGCTCCAAAATGTCGTTTACCGCTTAACGAGACATGGGTTTGCTTTATTAGGTGCACAAGAAAGATACCGTCTACAAAACTGAGTTCCAGCGCAGGGTGATGCAAAAGATGGCATCTACAAAACTGAGTCCCCGCGCTGGGTGATGAACACAAACGGAGAAGAGATTAGCAATTGACAAAAGGTGTGAATTCGACATTCTACCCACGATCAAAGTGAACCAAGATAGAAAGAAGGGACAAACGAGAGTGCAAATCGATCTGTCCGCCACATCACAAACAAAAATTCCCTACTTCCCCTTTCTATCGCTGTAATCGTTAAACTATAGCCTCCATCTCCTCAATAAACACGTGCATTAACATACTAATATACTTGCATCTGCAGATATGCCACTTAGCCGCTGAACGTTTTTCCCTAAACACGAAAGAATGGGATATCTCCCGCCCCCCGCAGACGGTTTCATGATGGATGTCAAAACTTTGCTACCGAAATACAGCCCAATGCGCCCAATGCACGTTCATATACATACACCTTTACAATATCGAGATATATATATAATCACAAAGATATCAGATATCCATATATCGTCACAATCGGCTTAGAGAACTGCCCGGTGAATCGTAGGCGCAGAGGGAGAAGAGGACAGTAAACGAGGGGCAGTGACAGACTTTCGTCGAAGTTTGACCGACTCATCAAAAGGCTGAGCCCCCCTGATGAATTGCTACATTACATTTCCAAAACGCGTATAATTATATATCGTCAAACAGAACCGACCGGTAAACCGTCGACAGAAGGAGAAGAAGCCAACAAACGAGAGGGGCTGTGACAAACTGTTTCGTCGGAGATGCACCGACTGACTCTTCAGGAGGCTGAACCCTATTGTACATATGAATGTATATGACGATATATATTTATATATGATATACATGAATTACTCCAATAGGATTAGTACAAAAAAACACCCGCTCAGAGGTACGAGTCACTACATTCTATTTGCAAAACGGTATACCGATCGACATGTCAGCCACGTGTAAAACGTTGTCTCCGTTTTTCCGCAAACGATACACAACCATACAATACTAATATCCGCTCTAGAAAATTATTTTAAATGTTAATACCTACAGTAACAAAATAAAATAAACAATAAGTGAAATATATGCGAATCGACGGAACGAACGACAGAGAACATGATAAGCCAGCAGACACAAGAGGGAAGAGAATCACTGAGAAGAAAACGGAAGCAAGATAGAAAAACCTGCAAGGAGGGTCCGCATTGGAGAACCATCGAAAGAGAGGGCAGGTGGTGTGGGAGCGGGTGGTAAACGCACGGATATTGACAGACAAACGTGCGCAGACTGTGTCACACCCCACACCCCTCCCTCTTATTCGCGGGGAAAAGAAACACCACTTCGGCCGACCTCATGTTGCATAAGACCCATGCCCCCTTCATTCCCGGCGTCCTAAGCGGGGAAAGACACTTGCCGAATTCAAACACGAGCTCAGAAACTGCCTGACCCTAATCCCAATTCAAGCACATCCACATCTCTCCCCATTCTCCATGCAATCTCCCAATTCCCACTCTCAGCCTTACGCGCACCGCAGCTCATTACGTGTACAAAAGCATATCCAGCTGGAAGAGAGAAGCAACAAGAGAGGGAGAGCGAGAGAGAGGGACGGTGTCAACGTTGACCAGTCAACACTGGTGCAAACAAACGTGATCCATCCGATGAAGCACAAAAGACATTGTTCGACCGCAGAGGTGCGAACACGCCAACAAGCACGATAGAGTAAAAAACGCAAACAAACACACAATGAGGCACGAGAGTGAGCGATACTGCTACAGTAATAGCAACGAAAGGAAAGAAGGCAGTAGGCGGGCGAACGTCCATTGTGCACCCGAACCTTATTGCCTGAACTAAGGTGGCACGTCAAACAATAAATACATAAAGAAAAGAGAGAGAGCGAAGAAGAAATACAAAAGGGGGAAAGAAGGAGAAGAGCGGGGAAGCGGGTGGGGCAAAGGCGCGAAGAGAAAGGGAGAGAGGGTCAATACAAACGGGGGGAAAAGGGAGAGAGAGGGGGGAAGCGGGTGGGGCAAAGGCGGAAAGAGAGAGACAGAGAGAGGGTCCGAAAGAGAGGTACACAAAGAGGCAAAGAAAGGAGAAGAATAAGAAAGAGAGAGAGAGAGGGCCGGAAAGACACAGAGAGAGAGAGAGGGACGCAAAGAGACAGAGAGAGAGAGAGAGAGAAAAAAAGACGGAGGAAAGGGAAGAGAGAAAGTGAGAGAGATTGAAAGGAGTGGAAGGAAGACGGAGCTAAAAGCGTACCTGAATGCTCCTTGTAGCGAATTCGACACCGATCGTCGATTTCGACTCCAGGCAAAACTCATTTCTTGTGAATCTCGAGAGGAGATTAGATTTTCCTACACCCGAGTCCCCGATGAGAACGACCTTGAAGAGATAGTCATATTCGTCATCCGGCTTGTGCGTCATTTTCGCTAGAGACGGCGAGACACGACCTAAAACCTCCTTCTTCGGCAATAAGAGGTCACACCAGCAACCTCAAGCAAACGACGTTCTTCTGCTCCCCCGATCACGTGCGACACGTGCGACTGTTCATACGGCGGCAAAGACCGTAATCCAGAAAATGACGGCAGCGAAGAAGAGGGAAACAACACGGTAAAAATGCAAGAACACTCTCCGTAACACAGAACAGAACGATGAGCAAGGACTAAAGCAGGCGAACGAAGCAAGGAGAAAAGAGTCGAGAAAAGAACCGTCTTCCACTACACAGAGAGAGAGAGAGAGAGAGAGAGAGAGCGAGTGTGTAGGGTACCCGCGCTTCTGCCGCCCCCCTCCTGCTTTTTGCTTAGCCCGCCTTACCAAATCGTCCTGCGCGTCGGCCTGTCGCCTCGCACGTACACCCCCGCACAGTTTTGCCCTACCCGCATTGCGCACCGCTGCCCTGTTCTTCCCCTGGCGTACGTTGGTAGACTGCCGGCTTCGCAAGAGGGCGACCAGAGAGGAAGACGGCAGAGGGAGATGGAGCTCCTACGCAGAGGGAGAGCAACCGTGACTACGAGACGATGAGGACGACGACGTCAAGGGCACAACAGTGCGGGAGAGACAGGTAGAGATATGGCGGAAAGGGAATGAAACCCGGCACCGAACTGCCCTCCTCCGGCCGCTTGAACGGGAGGGGGAGAGGGGGGGGGGAAGAGGGGGGAGGGGGTGGCAAAAGGGGTTGGCCAAAGAGGGGGTACAAGGGGGTGGAAACCGGGGGTATTGCTGTGTTTCGTCTTTCAAGAGGGCGACGAGATCAACCACTGCCGTTTCGTCATGCGGTGCCCCTGCTTTTGGTCCGTCTCGGGAAGAGGAGGGAAGGGGAGGCAAGTACGGAGGATGCAAACCAGGTGGAACCAGAGGGAGGTTCCCAACACCACACCCACCTCTGCCTCAGGACCTCATCCCCGTGAATCGACGCGTACCGCTAGGTTCCGCGTGTCCGCACCGATCATGGGAAGGCCACATGGACAACAGGGATGGTGCAGAAACAGAAATAGAAAATTGGCAGGTCAACGCGGGTGCCCGCGCAGATGTGCCCCCATGGAAGGTGACCTGTATCTGTCCCCACGCAGGCACCATTCGATTGGCAATGACCTATTGGCCCCTCACACAGTCTAAACACGCTCCGAGAGCTTGGGCTTTTGGCAGCTGAACTCCGCACCTCCACCACGCCCAACAGAAAGGATATCAAAATGTCAGAATTAGCGCCACCAGAGAATTGATTGCCGAGGGCACCAGGCCGCAGGCAGAAAAGGCCAGCTATGGCCTGGCCTGGTTCATCGGAACAAGGACAGCAAACCAGAAGTATATGTTCTGCAACAGAGGTGGAGATCGCAGGTTCGACTCCCGCGGGATGCAGCCCCTGCGCACGCTCGGTAGGTGTTGCTTGCCCCTTGTACCAAACTTGAAGAGGTTTTGGGGATGGGATCATAGAGGAGACACTTGGTTCCATCTTAGGGCATACACCGCCACCCCAAATATGCGGATTTGGGAAGGGCCGATTTGTGGTTTTGGGCATGGTTCACGTCACACTGCTGTACCTTTTCAGATGGGACAAGGTCGCGGGCTGTCTAGAGAAATGGGGATTTGGTACTTGGCTGGTCACACGGCGTCATCCACAAATTGTGCAAGAACTTTTGTGAACGAGTTTTTGCCAATTTTTGAAGAAAATGCGAAGAAAATAAAAATGGCATTTGCGGTCACCTCCAAAGGTGAGGTGACTGCAAAATCCCTTGCCCCGCGGCTTCCCATGCTGCTGACAAATGGGCACAGGAATAGTACATTTGCGAATTTGGTAGATCCGTGTGACCGGCCTTTCCCCTTTTTTTTTTGGATTTAGGGAATATAGGTCCCCGTGTCGATATGCCCTTAGGGAGGCAGGAGCAGATAAGGGGTTGGGAGGGAACGCCTCCAAGAAAGCAGGAGTAGATTGGGTAGGGTTGTCCTAATATGGGTGAGCGAGGTAGTGTTTAAGGGGGAAGTTATGAGGGGACCACTCCCTTGGGAGTGTAGGGTCAACGGGGGAGTTGTGTGGGGATCGTTTGGGAGCACTGGTCTACAGTGCATCATCATGGAAGAAGGTGAATATTTTGGGGGAGCAGCAACAGACAAGGGTTATCTCTTTAGTCATAAGTGGCGAGGTATAAGGCGAGGGGTTATAGACAGTTTGCTCTAATATAGACGAACGTCACTTTGTGAAGGCATAATGAAGGACGGACACAAAGATCAATGAGCGTCTTTATAGGGAACGAGAGTGTTACACCCTATACTGGTTGTCGGGTCAGGGTAGCATCATTGGATTCAAATGCAGTCCATCTCATCGACAACTGGGGAAGATGGTTGACAAAAGGTGACGAGTTAGAAGAAACTACAAAGACACAACAATAATTAAACCGTTAAGGAGGATGAGAATAATTAACCAAAAAAAACGGAAATATTCAACTGTTGGTTTACCTGACGCAGAATACTGTTTTTTTTGTCGGTTTCGGCAAGAGCGTTTTAATTTGGGCCTAAGACAATAATGAAAGCAACAGGCCACTTTGAAAAGGCACAGTTACAGGCTAATGAGCCTTGGAAGATAGCTTTGTGAACTTAGGTTCACGTTAACTTGTGATTTAAATAAAAGATAATAATTTTCATACACAAAGTGTTAAAACCAGTGAGAATAAAGCAAGAACCACTACCACTGAACAAACAACAAAAGATAAGGGTCAAAATTTCAATATGATTGACGCAAACTGATTTAAGTGTCCTTTGAACGGTGTAAAATAGTTAACAATCAAATCAACCAAACAATTGCACTGAAGGGGTGTACCAAAATCATTTTGGGTGTATGAGGGTATTTTTTGGTCGGTTATAAGTTACATTTTAATATAGATCAGTAAATATCACCCAAAGTAGGTAAGGGATAACACTGAAATATATAGGAAACAAAGTACAAAATTTGAAGGCACCTATAAGGTGTATTTATAGGGTATGTAGAGAAAAGGTCCACACATAGTGCTTAAAGCACCTATACGTCAAGACTTATTTGGCTTTATCATCCACTTCAACAGGGTTTCACGTGTGGAGAGCATGCATATGATAAATGTCTTCACAAAATCGTATGAATGAGAGTACCATGAAGAAAATGAGGGTCACCATGGTCGTGCAAGTATGATGTAAGGTTATTGATTCACATAAGCATAACTCATTAATCAAAGATTTTTCGATACACGTGAATTAAGTCCATGACTATGGTCTTCCCCCATAAACGAATATAACACACTCGGATACAATACATATGCGTTTTATTCAATCAACATATATGTATTTTATTATTCTATTTAAAATTTTAAAAAATTTTAAAAAAATGCATATGCATTACGTTTATGGGAAGATAACAGTAAAATAAAATGAGGTGCAAATAATACTTATGTAACAGTAACGGATCAGTTACGGTGCTCAACGGGCACAAATTGCGTTTCTTATTAAAATATAATCCACAAAAGGGTTATCTTACCAAGGTTGGTAAGCACTCACGATTAAAGTGTTTATACCAAGTTAATCTGTGTAAGATGCTTGAAAAGTGGAACATATGTACTGAGTGAATAATTAAGTAGTTTAACATATGTGATATAGAATACCTAATAATATTTAGGTCTCAAACGAGTGAAACGTCGGACGTAAAAAATATGATAATGGACGAAAAAATAAAGGATAGAAGATAAAAGTTTTGTGTGCAAAACAGATGAGGGATATCCGACCTAGTGGACTTAAGCACAACGAGACTTGTGAAAATGGTTGGTAAAGTGAAGCAATTTTTAAATATTATTTATATTTATTTATGAGTTATATCAATATGAAAATTATCAGGATTCAATGTTCAATAAGTATTATGCAATATGCGACTAAGAAGAAGGAGGTAGACTCAATTGTTGATCAACCTTGTTCGTAATGTTCAAGATACTGATATGTATTATTATAATGAATTTTTGGTACGATTATTGTACTTACAAAGAGAAACAAGATAATCATTTTTCTGCTAACTGCCTTCGAGTTTTAAGTTCAAAGAAGACGACCCTTTCATTACTATGTAGACAAATTATATGGTACAAATAATATTATATTTCTTACATATGTTAATCATTAAATAACTCAGAGATATTGAATAATGAATATATATTGATTTACGAACTGTCACCCAAACTTCAATAAATAAGACCTTAAAACTTTGTTGGGAGTATATCTAGGCTACCAGTCGGGGGCGCCGACGTACAAGGATCGGGGAAGGTCTCGGCCCCCCCGCCCCTAAAAAAATTAAAAATTGAAAAAAAAAATAAAAAACTATGTTATGTAAAAAAATAAACTGAACAACTTGTACCTCAAGGTTGCATCAAAAATATTTATTAATTTTTAAATAATAATTTAAATTAAAATATAACTAGGCTACCAGAATGGTCCGGGGTTACTTTCCTGGTCGGGCCGAAAATATTAAAAAAAAAGATAAAAATCAATATTTTTAATTTTAAATTTAATTTTAAATTTGATGAAGAATTTTGTGACCCTAAGGCTAAAGTTGTTCATTTTTTTTTTTTTTACATAATATAGTTTTTTAAAGATTTTTTAGATTTTATTTTTATTTTTATTTTTTTGGCGGACCTTCCCTGGTCCTTGCACGGGCTGACCACCCGGGATCCGGGTGACCCGTCTAGTGGTCTATAAATTTTATTATTATTATTATTATTATTATTATTATTATTATTATTATTATTATTATTATTATTATTATTATTATTTTTAGGCATGGTCAGACAAGTGAACCCTGACCACTCTGATAGCCTATGAGTATATTGATTTACTAACTGTCACCCAAACTTCAACAAATATGACCTTAAAACTTTGTTGAGAGATAATCATATTATACATCGAAATGATGTTACAAAAGTTATCGAATATTTAAAACACCGTTATCGAGCTTAACAACTTCTTCCGTTAAAAACAAACGACCAAAACTTATTGATTTTCGCCAAAGAGTTAAAACACTTAACTTATAACACATTAAAAAATATACAGAGAGATACAAGGTTACCAGCCCGTACGTACGGAGACCCTTGGGCGAACCTCCGTATATTTGGGCGTTCGAGGTCCCGTTCTAGGTCCGAACCTATGGGTTTCAGCCCCCGCCAAAAAATAATTTAACACCTAAATTTTATTTTATTTTTTTGAATTTTTTTTTGTACGTTCTCTATGATGTGAGGTACATGCCTATAAATTTAGAGGTCATTTTGCTTACCCCCCAAAAAAACAAAATCCAAAGATGGAGGTGTCAAGATATGCTCGCGCATTCACTTTTTTTTTCCCTATTTTTACGTTTTATCTTCAGTTTATTCCGGGCCCTAAACAATTTTATTATTTTTGATTTTTTTTCATGAGTTTTTTATTATCATGAGTCATGCTAAATCCTGTGTGAATCTTGTGTCTCTTATATGTTTTTTATTATCATGAGTTATAAGTCTCTTATATTATCCAGTTATATGTCATGGTAAATCCTGTGTCACTCATGTGTTTTTTATTATCATGAGTCATGAAAACTCATATAAAAATGGCCGTGTCGAAAACGAACTTGCGCACTAACTAATTTTAATTATTTAATTTCTCTTTTATTTTTTTTTATTTTTTTTTTCGGATATTATTTTCATTCCAAATTTGATAAGGAATTTCGATATAGTGCTCAGACAAATGTTATTTATTTTATCTTTCTACATAATATATGTTTTTTTCAGAATATTCTGAGTTAGTTTGTTTGTTTGTTTTATCCGCGTTCGGCCCAAACGACCGAACACATCCCCAAAGGGACCCGTACGTTCGGGCATTTGGGTTCGGGCGTTCGGCCTGTCCAGAACGTCGACAACCGTAGAGAGAGATATAT